TATAAAACCATTAATTTTATGCCTGGATTAAAAGAATCCTAATGCAATTTAATTGCTCACAAAGCAACCAAATTGTATCAAAAAAAAATCACAAAAATTGAATTAAAGTGAAATTCTTTTGATATCAAATTTTTTTTATTTTTCATTTTACTATGACAACTGAGATTAACAATCATTAAATTTGACCCGTTGTAAGTTAAAAAGCGAAATTCAATCTTCATTTTCCGGTCTTAATTCATTTTGAAAAGTAAAATTAGAAACAAAATAACACAACAGCAAAAAGTGGAGTAAGACTATTTTAATTTCGAAACCGTGTCATAACAACAAGAAAATGAAAACAAAATCAGGAAAAAAAAAAATAAAATTTCAATCCTGAAAAAGTATTATTTTGTACAAAATGTAATAATCCTTTTTCGTCCTGTTTTTAATTTACTTCTATTATTTCTTTTTTGTTTTGTTGCCCAACTTCAATTAAACTTTAAAAAAGAGTTTTGTATCAACTAAAATAAGCAACATAATGAATTTTTTCCGTTTTAGAAGGTTTGTTCTTTATTTTCTTTTTTTTTTCCTTGTTTAATTTAAACAAGAAAAGTTGAATACCATTATCATCAACATGATTTTTGTTTTTCATTTTCTTTATTTAATAATTCTTTCATCTTTGCCGGTGGAAAATTTTTAAATAAATTTTTATGCTAAAAATGGTCTAAGTTTCTATTTATATAGAAAAATAAATTGTAAAAAAGGTTGAAAATTACTAGGTTTTCCCAGTAATCGTTGCAATTATTTATTCTTTTCCTTAACGCCGAACGGTATGCAAATTTTAAAAATTTTTAATATAATTTTGTATAATTTGTACGATTAACATTTCAAACTCTGTTAATGAAAATAAAATAAAAATTCTTTATTCGATAGAGCAAGTTTATAAGATGAGGGAAATAAAACCAAAAATTTAAGTTGTCAAACATATATAGCACACACACTTCCACTGTAGACTTTTGTATGCTACTTTAGAAACTTAATGCTTTTTTTGTTAAATTCTTTGATGCAATTTTTAAATAATATAAAACATGCTTTGAAAATGATCATTCGCTGAAATTGCTTCGATGAAGTTCGTTCATTATATAGCACAATAATCAAACTACCTACATTCAGTTTCATTCATTAATTTAACGAAATTCTAATGTCCCATATTATGAAAAAGTACTAAAATATCAATATATTAAAAAATTAGTACTTATAACTTTATCTAGATGCTTGAAGGACTTACTTCATATTTATTTTCATAATAACTTTTTATTAAACATCTAAGACTCTGTATATAATATTTTATAATAAAAGGACGGACGAAAATATTAAACAAAACAAAACTAAAAGGAATTTTCTAATAAAAAAAAAGGATATACCATGATAAAATAGAAAGTAAATTGCAAATACCGTAGATAAAAAACAAAGACTATTTAGTATATAAGGGAAAGAGAGGTTTTATAGAATATGGTATAAGTATGAAAAAATCCTAAACTATATATGGACTGTATCCTACGGCAATAAATTATAAAAATATGTAAGTACACAAATAATACATAAACTAAATGCAGGTTTGCAGGTGCACTGACATCATACATATAGAATTCTAACATTTTATATAAATAATACGATATATACTCATATAGAATATACAAATTTTTCTTCTTGTTCGAATTAAGTCTTTAGAAAAATTGTGTCATTTTAAATGATAGGGATAATCTTTGAGGATCAACTATTAAAAGAAAGAAAGAAAAGTAATAAATTAGAGGAATACTATCATATCATCCTACTAAAAGGTATTTTATAGTGTAAAACTTTACTTATGAAGAAAAAGAAAATATAATGCATTGTCACATTAGAATGCATGTTTCCTTTAAGAGTATTACTATTTTAGTATATTAAAATAATGTAAATTGAAAAATTGATCCAGGAAAGGATTTAAAATAAAAATATTTTATATTGCTATAAAAATATAAATTTACGGAATTCTTATTCAAATATTAGGTTTACGATCTAGTCAAATATAATATTTTAGTAGAAGAAAAATTATTAAAACAGTGAATTGATTAAATATTAATCAAATGAATGTTGTGAATGGCTAGGCATTTCTAAGTGTTATTCAACGAATATATGTTTTTACTTGATTTAGCAACAACTCTTATTCAAATTCTATTTTCAATTCAATTCAATTTAATCCATAGTCGTTTATAATCCAAGAAAAACCGATTATATATTTTGAAAATGTCAAGGCTTATTGAAAAAAATTTTGTACCTCATGATGAAAGAATCAAAATATAGTTCCATTATATTCCCAACTATATCACTCAATACTTACTTATTTGCTATATGGAATATAAAACGCTATTTTCTCAATTCTCAATTTAACTGAATTAGAGCAGAACAATAGATTTACCAAATTGTCAATTTACTCCTATTAAGATGAAAACTTTTCTTTAGTTAACAAAATATACATAAAGTGCTAATTAAAATACAAAATGGCAACACTATAATAGTTTTTCTCATATTATTTTTGAAAAACTATTCGCATATTATATACGAACGTATATATTTATTTATAATACAGTCTCATCGTCTAAATATTGTGTACATATATAAAATTTCAAACAGGTAAAGATTCATTTAATGTTTTAATAGAACTTTGTAGCAATTCGTAGAAGTTTTAATAAAAAAAAAAAATATGAGAAAGAAAAAATTTATACTATTAAAAAAAAAATGTTTGTATATACTCCAGTCGTTATAATATTTATACAATAATATGCTTATATATAATAAGATGAATGAATAAGTAGAACAAAGAAGAACCGTTAGATTGTCTGTTTCATATTATTCAGTAATGTCAGCCATACAATTTTTTCTTTCCCTGTTATATTACATGTATTTATATATGTAGTGGTGCATTTAGTTTCAAAAATAATCACCATATATTATACTATAATGTATACGAGTACGGAGGGAGATCAGAAATATGCTTCCACTGAAAATTACTTTTTAACATCCATGGTATTTAAATATTTTCAAATTATTCAATACTTTGATTTAATACTTTAAATTCCTGCATTCACCATTTCCCCTCTCATTTTTTCTTCGATATTTGCAAGGGTATAATTGTCGACTGTCATCAGGTCAATCAGACTGTCGAATTGTTTACTCAACGCTACTCGGTTAATAAGTTCTATATGATTAGCATAAAAATATCACATTAGATAGTATTAAAGTACTTTTTAAGATAACCTTTAAGAATACTTTAAAGTAAAAATGAACTTAAAAAGCCATCAAACAATAGCATGGTCTGAAGAATCAAACATAATTTAATATTTCCAACCATGAAGATTGTAAAACAGAAAAAAATGATTTTGTTCTCCTCTTAATTCAGAATATAAATGAAAGATGACCGATAAATAAACATAATCGTATTAGAATGAAGAACCGCCGTTCTTACTAGCAAATAATATCGTATTTAAAGATACTTGCGCGTTTGTTATTGCAACCACCTTAAATTTTTATTACAAAATCCCCAAATACTCAGTCAGAACTCTAAATTTATTGTTTAGATTAATAGACAAAGAAATTAGATTTGTAAACATATTCCAAAATATTTTAAAAGAAAATTGAGTTTGCATTTTTACCTGTCCCTGTATTTTTTTTTGTTTCATATTAAAATTAATAAAAAAGTTCATTCACATACAAATTTCAAAGACATTTGCATACAAAAACTATAAAGAAAAAAGTAAAATGATAAAATTTTTAGATTTTTTTTTTAGTCTCAACAAAAATTAAAATGCAAAAGAGAAACAGGAAAAACAAACAGTTTTTTTGTTTAGAATTTCTGCAATATATTTATGTGAAAAGGATTTAAAGGTAACCACATGGAATTATGTAGGATTCATCATTGTGTCAATTTTGTGTACTCTTTTTTTTCGTTTAGCTTTATTGTTTTTTTTTGCTTTTGTTCAAGAGAAGTGAAATTGTTAAAAATTTCATGGTAAATTTTTAAAATTAAATAAAAATAAATTTCATTTTGTCTTTTTTGTTTTGATTTTTTTTTTGATTCTACACATACAAACATTTTTATAACATATTTTTAAAATGTGGGTAATTATTTAATACCTTTGAAAAATGTTACTTTATAAAGCCATACAAAGGTAAATAATATTGTTTTGGAAATAAAAGTGTAAAATAAAATAACAAAATCTTCTTTTTTTTGTATTTTGTTTCAGAATTTATTAAAATTAGAAATATTTAAAGAATAAATGGAAATTGTAAAATGTCATGCTTATTTTAAAACAGCCGAATGTAGAAACATTTAAATTGTAATATCGTCGGTTGAGTGCTATTTTGATCCATACGCCATGACTTCCGAATCGAGAAAATCGCGTTTGAAGTTTAACAACACTTCATTTAAAAACTAAACGATGGGATTTCTTAAATTTTTGTTAATTGTAGTTTTAAGAGTTTGACTAAAAAGTTTTGTGCAATTTCAATTTGTGAAATAAAATTATGTGTAGATGTAATTTAAAAATTATAGCTCAGTGAGTTTTGGAAAAAAACCCTCTTAATACAATTAAGTACATTATTTTTGCAATGGGACATTGGTGGTAAATTTATTCTTAATAAATTTCATATTAATTAAAACATTCGTTTAAAAATAAATAATTAACAGGTTTGGAGCTCGTAAAAATATTTCAGTTTAAATATTATTCCGCAAAAAACCCATAATTTATTTTTGTTGAAATACAAAAGTGGTTTAACATTTTTTTTTTCAATATGCGTTAAAATTTATTAAAATTTTTTAAAAATTATAGTTTCACTCCGCAACAATTATAATATAATTTAACAAAATAATTTAAATAATCCTATTAATTACTTAAAATTAATATTAAAATATAAATTTATTATGAATTTAAAAAAAAAAATTAATTTTATTCATTTTCCTTATTTTTTTTTATTTTCAGTATCGACGGTATCAGTTGAAGCTGTTTTAGGTCGTACAACAATTTTACCCTGTGATATTGAACCAGAAGCAAAAGATGATCGTGTTTATATGGTACTTTGGTTTCGTGAAAGTGCCGGTAAACCATTATACAGGTGAGTTAAATCTTCTTTTTATTTAATAGTTAAATTAACAGATGATTTTGATTTTCATTAATTAATTTTCGATTAGAATTAATTTTATTCTTAAACTTAATATCGTATTTTATGATAATTTTTATGCAATATGTTGTTTAATAAATCAAATTGTTAAATTTTGAATGAAAATTTCAAATATGAGTAAAGAGTAAGAGTTTTGTTTATTTTTTTGTATTCATACTACAATCATCAATATTGAGCTGGTTTTTTTGAAAGTGGTATAAGTCCACTTTTTAAAAAGACTGAGTTAATGGTAATTTTAGTGAGTTATAGACACCTTCTCTCTACTATTTATAATCACAATTTCAACAGAGTTCTGTGTAGACATAAAACAAACAAATTATGTTATTATGACCAATATTTTTAAATTGATTCAAACGCAAGCCCATAAATATCTGAATATATAAAGAAATGGACTCATACCACTTTCAAAAAAAAAAGTTCATATTATGGCGACAAATATCACCATATCAATTTTCTTAATAACAGTTTATCGCTTTTGTTTGCCCCAATATCGATTTTGAAATCGACTAAATTAGCCTCCGAAAAATTTTATTATTTAATTTCTATTTTAAATTTGAAAGACTGATAAATATATGGGCCATGTCAAATTTGAGCGCGATATTTTGAAAATATAACTTGTATACAGAGAGCTAAATACTTAACTGTACTCTCAATTTATAATTCCGTTCTAATTTTCTTTAATTTCCTAGATTAGTTGTAATTTAATTTAAATTTAAATAAGCTTAAGTGAAATTTTAAATCAGTTTTTTATTCGAATTTCTGATACGTTAAGAAACCAAATTTTTTTCATAACCACATGTATAAAATTCATATTGAAAGTAACTATTTTTTATTCGGCAAAAGGACTAAAGATCATAAGATTATTAGGTTTTAAGTATAATCTAACCTAATAGTTTTTTTTAATATTAACAGCTTTCGTCATACTTTTTTCTCACTTTTCACCTCAATTGACATCCCAAAATAAAAATAATCTTTTAACGATCAAAAATAAAAATATCAAAAGTTTAAAAAACACAAAAATATTTAGAAAAATTTTTCTAAGAATTTTTTCATAGCAAAAAAAAAAACAATAAAAAATAATATTCATTTTTCCTTGTTCAACTTTAATGACATCCTTCAAAGTTTCCCCAAACTCCATAAAAAAGTCAAAAACTTTTGATGGACATAAATTAAGGTTATTATATATTGTTTTATTATTATATATTTTTGTTTTCACTTTAAAAAGAAAAACCAATTTGTGAACACCAAAACAATAAGAAGCAAAAAAAAAAAAAATAACCAAAAACAAAATGTGTCAGAAAATAATAAAGACGATTTAGTTAAATCCCTAATCAAACAGAAGGACATCTTTCATACATCACACAAATATACAACACTCTGTATATATTAATAAATATATACAAATTTAGAATAGATAATACCAGACCCGTTATATAAATATAACTTGTATATAATATCAGATAGCAGTTATATATACAATATGTTTGTATTGTGTGTATTTGTATAAAATATACAATAACAACAAATTTGAATAAAATTTTTTAGATGATAAACCATTTCCTTTCATTGAAATTATTTCAATTTTTACTTTCTTTTCTTCTTTGTCTTCTCTCCATTATGATTTATATACAAGCACGTGTATATTACTAATGTATATTACTAATATTACAATTTTGTATATTACTAATGGAACATAAATTTGTAAGATGAAACCACTGTTGAAATTTTTGACATAACAATCAAATTAAAAAAAAATATAATAATAGGAAGAAAATCTAAGTTTTTCGTCTTTAGAATTTATGTTGGAACTTTATGTATTCTAAGGAGTACGTATACAATAGTACTCGTATATTTACGCATTTTTACTGTATATACATATATCGATTTTCTTCTTATATGGGAACTATTACTTACTTTAACACAATATACAATATATTTCGCATAATGAGGTCGGTCAAAAAATCTATAGAATATCGAAATTTGAAAACCATGAAATTTAAATTCACAATTTCAAATGAATTAAATCAAATATTTGTATGGATTGTGTAAAAAGTTTTAATTGTTCTAATTACAATATTCGTGTATGCAATATGATAACTCTTTCGTTTGCAGTTTAATGTTTTAGTCTTTGTAAGAAGTATATTTGGTTTTCTTTTTCAAATGAAGTCTGCGGATTAGATTAAGACGTGTAAAAAATCTCAAGTTTTTATGTCTTAAAAACTTTTTTCGGAATATCTGCTATTTGTGGGTAACATATTTTATATATGAATTCTTTATAATATTTTTTGGCAAATGTGATAATTAAATCAAAAATAATTTCAAAACAATTTTGTCTTGTCCTTTCTTGAACTGCTGAACTCTTGTTTCTAACTGGTTGAATGCTATGCTTACAATAAAAAAATTTTTCAACTTTCATTAATGTTACAAAATAATCTTTTTATAAATTACATTCGAACAAAGAACTGAACTGTTAAAAAAATAACAAAACAATTGTTATATTGATGGGTCTATAACTTTAATATATAAAACTATTAGCAACGTAAATGTAAAAATCAAATACATACAAATCACCTGTCGACGAAATGTTAGGTAAGATAAAGTTGGCAAACAAAATTTGCGTAAAACTAGAAATAATCTCAATTTAAAAAAATATATTCAATATCAAATCTTTAAATCATCTGTAACGCCAAATGATATGCAATTTTACAAGACGTAAATATTAAATATAGAAATTTTTATAAATTTTTTGTGATACAATAATTGCAATTTTTTTTATCGAACTTTGTATTAAAATTTAATAATATGAAATTTTGAAGCATTTATTGAAAAATGAGGAAGTTTTGACACACAGTATGTTCACATTTCTACTAATATAATTCGCAATATAAATAGTGTGTTTGTAGATGTATATAGGTCTACAATACATATATGCATTTATGTTGGAAATAAATATAAGAAATAAATATAACAGGATATTCTCTTAAATAGAAAAAAATGTAATAAAAAAAGTTAACATCACAGAAGGAATACACCATTTGACTGAATACCTATACATTGTGTACGTTATTATTTGCAAATTATCTATGTATAAGGATACCGTTCATAAAAAAGAATATTGATCATTAAATAGACTTTAATTCCATGTGAAAAATTTATTTTAGGAAAAAATTTAATAAAAATTTCCATTGATATTAAGAATATGAAGAAAAATATTAATTGTAATTTATGCTGCACTTACCAAAGTTATTTAAATAAAGTTTTAATGTATTAATTTTTTAAAAAATGTTTAATGTTTTGCAAAAAAAACCAAAGAAAAATTTTTCATTGTTAGGAATTTTGCTAATAACTTTATAAAAATTTAATTAAAATATTTATTTGTACTGCTAGTAACCTTAAAATCCTCATAAACTAACTAAAAGACGAGAGCAGTGTTTTATAGTAGATATTCTCTTGCAAAAATTTTAAGTTGAATGCTGAATTTATTTTATGAATAGAATTGCATTTCCTGTTTCGCATTTAAAACAATGTGACTAATTACTTGGAAAAATTTTGAACTAAATATATTAGCGAAAAATATAAATTAACAATTTTAATTGGATTGTAATTGTTTTTAGCACTTTTCCAAAAAATTTTTGAAAAAAAATGCTTATTAGTTTCACTCTGCCGTCCGTCCGTCCGTCCATCCGTCCGCCTGTTCGTGTGTCCGTTTACAAAACTTCTACACCCTTGAAGATAGAAAGCTGTAATTTTGTACGTACATAGATCTTTACTAGAAACTTATTTCCGTAGAACAAAATTTTTACATATCTCCCCCTCTAGAAGTTATACCCCGCCAAAACCCTAAAAATGGCCTTTTTTAACTATTTGTTGCAATGAAACCATAAGCATTTTTGAAATTTTGTAAATGCAGAAAGGCAGCGGCTTACTTTCCCTAGCGCGGTATACTATAATTATACTTTTAGCCGTTCAAATTTACCGTTATCTAAAGTCTTTTTTTTTCAAATTTTTGATTTGTTTTTTCTTCTAGACCCCAGTCTGTAGAAGCTTAGAATTTTAGGGGCTTCTAGACATTAATAAATAGTTCATTTCGTTAGAAGAAAATTTTTTTCCATCTCCACCCCGTCTCAAGTTATCGCCTCGTGAAATGTGTAAAATTTGAATTTTTGACACCTTATATTTCCGAAACCGCAAGCTTTTTCAAATTTCTATAAACACAAAAAGTTAACGGTAAATACTGTGACATTAAAGAATATAATTATTTTTCTTAACTCATGCAATTAACCCTTAAAATCGAGCATTATGTTAGCCCCACTTTATAATAATTTTTGCTTTATTTCAAAGACTGCATAAATCGTTCATCCTAAATATATGCAATCCTAGAAATAGCTTTGTATATGAATGAAAATAATTTTAATAGTGTGATAGGTATACATAGACTGTATTTAAAATCAGAATTTTCACTTGTTGAAGGGAAAAGTGCTACAATACAAGCCATTGGTTTGACTCAACTTTACTATTTCAATTTTCAATTAAAAGTTATAATGGTTTTGGAGTTTCAAAATTTCAAAATCTAGTGTTATTTAAAGTCTATATTGGTAAAATTGTTTAAATTCCATTAAAATACAAAACTGCTTTAAAATTCTTCAAATAGAAATAAGTTAACGAGTCATTTTTTTTATATAGGCGCAGTTACTATTCGTGCATCACATTTGGTTCAATACCGACTGAACAAAAAATGAATAACATTTTTATACAAAAACCTAGGCAAATAACGCTTTTTAAGTAATTTTTTCTGCATGCATAAAAAAAATTCTCCATAATTGTAATAAAACGAATGCAGAATTTAAATTCTAAAAATTATTACAAACCATTCCAGTTCAAGATATTCATTTACGATTTCATTGAAGTTCCTTATTAAGTTAATTTCAACTTCA